AAGAAATAGAAAACCCTAACGAAGTACTTCGATTGCTTCGGCGAGCATTCTCCCCACTTCATTTCGACTGCGAGAACATAATCATAGTTCGTCACTGGGTGACCCTGGGGAGCTGTACGACCACTACGCACTACATATTACTAAAAACCGCATCACATTGGAAAAAATTGGGAAAACTATTGCTGCTTATATAATGAAATGTAAATGTATAGGTTAACTTACCCCATCTGCGTCTCCTCGTAAAGACAACTGGTCCCACTTTGAGATCTGTCGTTGCGGACCTTGTGTCCATCAAAATAACTGAAAATAGAAAACCTTTGGCGGTATCCTTTTTTCTCTCACAAACACTTCAACTACTGTCTCAGCATGGAGGCAATTTTATTTGAGTCTTGCGTCCTCACAGGTTGCCTGAGAGGGTACTCGATGTCAAGGAACTCGGCCACGGGCATAAAACGCCTCACCGGCACTTGACATGATGCGGTCACTTGACAGAGTCCTAAATACAATAGCGAATGGTCTAATCGCTTCACACTTCTCTCACTCGCTTTTGAGAGCATCGGCAATCGTATCACTGCCCGCCGCCCTGCAATCGTCCAGCCATTCATTCACAAGAAGATGAAGTCTCGCCTCGCGTTTTGCTTTATGTGGCTGCGATTTGAGTCCACCAGCTGAAGCATTTCGCTGATTTCACACCATCAGCACATCGCGACGAATGTGGGAGCGCTAAAAGGGTCTGCGAACTCTACGCCGAGAACGGATAATGGATGAACGCACTAGAACGAGCTCGTCTCTGGAGGAATGACTAAGCCGCAACTGCTGAAAAAGCTACTAACTGAGACCGATCACTAGGAACAGACTCGCTAGCCCACCAAGTAAACTTCTACGACGTCTCGATTAATCAAAGCGCAGTACTCGAAATTCGACGGAAATCCAAAAACGCCCGCTCTATTCACAATGGAACTCCACTAAGAACATCGTAATTCAACCGTCCATTTGAAAAACTTCCGAAATTTAGGTCAATTTTCTACAGTACTCCCGGCGTTGAAGGCTGTCTATCGAAACCAACAATACACACAGTAGTTTATTTTACTCATAGAAAAGGTCAATCGGTCGACTGACCTGCTGGTGAAACAATCGCTTGCCCAGGCAGCTTTGTGCTCGTTTGCATGACCTCTCATTTCAAGGAGATCATCGCGTCCCGCTAAGCCACTATGAGAGGCGCTTTACTATTCGAACACATGGTCAAGTTCCCATACTACTACAATACGCAGCTTAACGTCAAGTATCCGGGTAATATAGGGTGACTGGCTGACATCCGAATGGCCAAGCGGCCTCGTCTGTCGCTCTGCCGAACCTCATCACATCTACACGCACCGGCCAATTGGTCGCCCAGTCACTCACTCCATTCCAATTTTGGGCAGATTTCATGGAGAGCCATTAACCTCACTACAAAAACATGAGCTGCAGCGCTTTTATAGATAGCTATCATCGCAGGAAAAAAGCCCAAAAGCAAGAAGCCTATCTTTATGAGATCTTTTGAAAATGAGAGGTCTAATGTCTTTCATTGCTGAACGTTAAATTCACACTGGATTCACTTCTAGAATTCCAATAGATGATATCTGACACGGAGCCGAACGTAGTCAATGGCCGCCGTGGTTGATTAGTGAAGCGATTACGTGAACTGAAGTGACAGCTCTGGGCCGACACCGCTGTTGGTCGGAGCGTTATCCATAGGGCAACCTTTCCATGTTGATCAACACCGGCATAGGTCGTTCTGCTCCCCTGTTCGAATCCAAAATGGCAACCCTCATCGCGTCCGATCAATCAACTTACGGTATAAAATCTTTGAAATGAATAACGAAAAAAGAAAACGTTGGTCAAGAGAAGCTCTTATTGAAAAATGATGATTCGTGCATGTTTAGGAAAACTGCAGCTTGCAAGCTGCGTCGAGCCCCGCGGAAAAGAAAAACCCGTGGCAGATTAAAAGTGCGTTTGGGCTTAGGGCTTAGGCCGTATTATGAATTCCCGACGTATTCTTGGAGTCGATGTGTATAAAAACATTTAATCACTTGGCAAATGACTTTCCCCAAGCTGCGACGGGTTTTTTCAGCACTCAAATAAGTACTGGTGCGCTGCAAAACTGCTGCAAAGAAATCCTAAACCACAAGTCAAAAGGGCGACAGAACGGCTCCAAAAGCCGTCAAGACCACTACCATTCCTTTCCTAGCCCTTCCTCCTCCAAACACATAGGTACATGGGAATCAGTGTGACGGAAAGATGAGCATGCCTAATGACTGGGTTCGAGCCAGTGGGTCGCGCACTAATGCGTATATTCTTTTGTCTTGACCAGCACATTGCCCAGGTCTCCGAGGGCCCATTCCAACCTCATGCATATGCTAAAAATTTTCCGTCGAGACGCCCGAACCGAGCCCGTTCGTCCATCATACGCGATGAAACTCAGCGATGATAAATCACTGCGAGCCGTCAAGTGTGGCAAAAGAACGCTTTTCGAGGACCTTGAAAGGAAAACCGCCTG